TGAAATGTACAAAAAAACACGAGTACATCATTAATCTGTTAAATATTTGACTGTGGACTCACAAAATAACCGCATTGAAACTATAAATATAGTTTAAGGGCAAGTAGGTAAATTGATATTTTAAGAGGCAACTTGGGAGTTCACCAATACTTCAAGGGGAAATGATCATTTTATCCTTCATTATACAATGTAGAAAACATTGCAACAAGGTATCTAAGAGAAGCATATCTCTTTGCATACAGAAATTGTATGCCAAGAGAAGCACGTCGATACTCAACAAAATTGTGAGATAACTCTACACTTCGTGCTTTATGATTATGATGGAACATATAAAAATAGGCTATAGATATTATACCTCATGCATAAATAACATTGACTGTGCTGAACACTTTTGACCACTGCAAGCATAGGCATCCTGATCGCACACCCATGCTACATACTCAACCTATCATCGAAATGAGGTTAAGGAAACGACTAAAGAAGTTAAAATTGGTCAATATAAACTGCCATGCAGGATGCAAACTTCAATATTGTAAAAGCTCAATACAATATAAATGCCAATTTAAATATTTGAATAGAACCTCCTGTACATCTGGACCCAGGATTTTCCAGCCAAAACCTGCATCTTCTAATTTAACCCGCCCTTTCAAATCAGCAGCCAGCTTTTCTGCTACTCGTGAGCTTCCAGTAAAGAGAGTCATTTGTGGTTTTGCCTATTAAATAAAACAAAATCAGAACTAGTTAGACCCCTCACACCCGAATGACTGGTATTATCTCTATACTACATTTAGTCGATTAAAATGAAAGAGCACCCAAACACTTGTTTTGTTATTAAGCTTACCTAAAATAAATTATATAGAACAATGGCACAAGAAGGGCTTCGTGTACGTTGAAATTTCAACAAGACAACATAGAGAAAACGGATTTTTTTTTCCTCTCCCAAACTCCCTACTGCCCACTTCCTATCCTACAAAAATCTATGGCTAAAGGACGTGATGGAGTTATAGTGAATACAGCCCAGGGACATATATAAACTCCCTCAATAATACATCGAGCCATAATTGATTAGGAGGCAGGATGGGAGGGATTACTGAAAGAAATAATCCATGTAAAAAATTAGTTATTCCAGGTAGACGAGAATGCCACAAGAATTGGAATAAGTAATCAAATTCGCTCAAATACACAGGGAGGTAATTCAATGATTGGGTGCAGATAGTCACATTTTGTGAAGTAAACAACCATTAAGGAGAAAATCAGGGTGTTCTTTTCAATCAGCCTACTTGACAATAAACAATGTATTAGTAAGCTGAAATAACATAACCAAGTATGATATGCAAGACATTTCTCTCCATAACAGGAATTTATATGATGCTGGGTTCTTGGTTTCTTCTAGTATAGGAGGTCTTAGTTGCACAAAGTGCTTTGTTATAATTTGAAGCAGAAGATAAGGCAGGTGGGTGGATTGGATACGATCTATTCATGTGGAATATGAGAAAATGGTAGACCTCTAAAAAAAAGGCATTATGCATGTAGGATGTATCAAGTAAACAGACCTCCATTAAAAGCTTGTTCATTGTTATACCATCAGAGTTGATGAAATCCACATCCTCCTTAGGCAGCCCACACTTATGTAGCAAACGAAGCATCTGCTCCATAACAATGCTTACCTGTAGTAACAATGTATAATATACAATCAAAAAGTGAGGAAACAAACAAACCATCTCAACAAGGAACTGATAAGATGGTCAAATGCATCCAAAGTAGAAAACAGCAAAGCAGCGGTAATGCATTTCATTTAAATGCTTACAACCCCCAAGTATATAGAACTAACAAAACTTCCTTGTATGCTAATAGACTTCAGTGAGTAGCAAAACCACATTTTACAGGACACTGTTTTATCTTCATCCTTTCTTCTTTTTTTGGTGAACTAGTGTGAACACCGTGCTTTGCACGGCATATATTTTTTTTCCGCTACAGTAATCCCGGTTTTTAATTGCTTCGGTAATTTTTTGAATTGCTAAAGTATCTCACCTCTGCTGCAGTATTCACGTGTGGTACAGTAATATTTTTCAAAGAACCCAGTGCCCAGTTTCATGTTTGCTACAGTAGTAATGCTACTGTGGTATCTACTGTAGCATGAATAGTGAACATTGGGTTCTCCCATTTGTATAGAGGAGTAGAAGAGTAGGAGGGAGCGAAGCTCCAGCAACACTACTACCATATCAATAAGAGATTTTTCTTGCAACCCCGAAAAGAACATAGTACATATAACAGCAGTTCAACTTTACAAGCTAAATAGTTAATTCTCACAAAAATAGAGTAAATGAAGTTCTGACATAAAAAAAAGCATAGTGCTGTGCTTCAGTGCTTGACCCCCACGCCTAGTCGCCTTTGTTATTTATGATGATCATTCATATTTTAATTACCTTTGTATGTGTTTGTTACATGTCCTAACTCATAACATTATATTAAAAGCATACGTATTTACCTTGCTATCAACTTTCAAAACTGGCTTATTCCCCATGTAAAGTGCACCCATCAGCTGCAATAGTGGGATCTCCAGAGGAAAGTTAAAGGGAGTAATAATTGCAACCTGTGAGAACAAAAACAAACATCGATGTTTTAGTTTCTCTAGCACAGACACGAGTAAAATAAGAGTTTCCAGGATGTATAACAAAGTTACACTACATTATTAATAATTACTATTATGCAAGTTTTCTAATTTACCTCGCAACCAGAATATATTTTAGTCATTATTTCGCGATAAGTGCCAAATAGTGTCTTTTCCAATGTTAATGAACTCGAACTAAATTGGAAAAAATGATGACCAGAAGGCAATAACCTACTAGTGAACTAAGCGTCATATGCTTGAAGGAGCTGATACCTTCTGGAACATGGGTTTCACATATTTCATAGACTTAGTTGGTGAATATTTTTCACAACCATATCGTGAAGTATAATGTCAATAAAATTTAGATGAGAGTTTGGCTACATTATTCTGATTCCTCTTTTATAGAGCTGAACAATTTCTATTGTTCAACGGAGCATCAAAATAGTTATTTTTAATCTTACTATATTCCCTAATATACCTATCTTACCCTCTTCTATACTCTTTTTAGTTTTTACTTTTAGTAGACTACAATTATCTAATCCAATTATCCGAGTTGGAATCCAACATGACCGAAATAATTTAGTTTCAGCTCCAAATCAGAAATTACATAAAACCTCAATGACATTCCTCTGGGTAAGTTAACCGTGTAATTCGCAAAGAACAATACTACATTCTACAACATAAGTCAATAGACCCATAGCATGGCATCATGTGATTCCTTATCAGAGAACTAATTTCCTCTGAGACTTCTCCACCCTCAAAATGGAAGGAGAAAAAGGCGTCCTGAAAGATGCTATTGAATTACTGCATGCATGTGGGGCAAGCACATAAATAGAATTTATCTTACAAGATGGATCCCACAATTTCTAGGTATACCATGACATATTTCTCACAGACTGCAATCTTTGAACACATAATAGCTTTTTGTCATCTATCCCAATCAGGACTCATCCAAAAGCTAATTCTTTATTGCCAAGAAAACCCATGCATATTTAACATTTTATGCCAATTTAATGAACATATTAGCTTTAAGCGCTTAACAAAGTAAAGACTTACAGGACCATAAGGCCAGCGATAGCCATTACTCTGCTGTCCAAGATGGTTGCCAGGAACTGCAAATGACCGTGCCAGGAAGCGAACCTACAGATCAGAGATGAAAACTATAAGATAGGTGAAATGTAAGACTAAGCAAAGTTCAATAAACAAATACACATTTCTTACATATGAAATGTATTACCTCTTTAACCACGAATAAATAACTGAACTTAGAGTTCTCATACAAGCCCCATTATTTTTGCTCAACCTTTTTATCTTTCTAGGTAGGACCATAGGAGGGATGCTTGCATCAGAGGCCTATGCAACTCCAAGCTGTTTATGACTTACCATGTCAAATCAGAATGATATCGACATTAAGTTACTATCGACTTCAGAAACCAGTTACTGTATCTTCTTAAACATACATGAATATTTGGTATTTCTTAATGCTAAATGCTTATATGGATTATTTGGTCCTTTCAAGAATGTTAAGCCCCCAATTGAAAAGGGGGATAAGAAGGTATAAATATTGCTACACTTCTTCAACACGTCAAATACCCTAATTTTATTTGATACTAATTTGAACATTTTAAAACAAGACCGCTCTTATGCCTGAAATTTGGTTGCAAAAAAAATTAATAAAAAAAAGCTCATGACCAACATTTTTCCTCCAATTATTCCTTATATTTCCTTTAATATGCAAAAAGCCACACATAAATGCTACTAGGTAAGGTGCCATCAAATACATATTTGACATTATTTGTAGGTGACACGAACTATTGCACTGAAAAAATGGTTATAGGCATATTCAACTTTTCACTGCCTAGAAATTTAATAAAGTAACATTGGTATGCAATACTGCTGCAATGCAAATACAAATACTCAGAAAGAATTTGCTAGCCTGCCACTTGATTATGCAATATTTGAAGTCCTAAGTTGGACACGTAATACCCAATAGAACTGCCAAAATGAAAAGTGCATAAATGGTTCATTAAGAACTCTTCTTAGCACAGTGTTAATGGCACCAAATTTCTTGACCACATTTAAGAAGATCAACTATGATAATTTCAAGCAGCGTAGAAGCAGCAGGTCCGTACCTGGTCTCCAGAAAAATTTTCCAGGAATTTTCGTGTAACTTGGACCTCACCAAGAGCTTGAGTATAACTCTTTGGAGAAACTCTCTGAATAAGCCTTGAGAAGAATTTTTCAACCTGGTATTTGTACACATGGTTGAGTATTGTAACATAGAGGACATAGAAATAAGGTGATACAAAAATATAACAGGCATATTCTTCTGAGAAGGCTAAAAACGCCTTTTGTTTGAACATAGCATGAAAAAATTAAAATTTTCTGAAGAAATATGGCACCTCGGGTTGTCCAAGCATATGAGCCGCTTTTGCAGATATCTCTCCAAACATAAGATATCTGTAAAATATTATTTATCAGCCGTGATTTTCAAGAAAGAATTTCTGTAGAAAGTAGAAACAACCAATAAGATATTAACCAATATTAAATCACAACCTAATTAGAACAGATTATGAGTCTATGACATAGATGAAAGTCAAGATTTGACCTTGGCAAGTCATTAAAAGTAACATGTTCAACTGACCACATTACATAACATGCTCTAAGCTCAGGAATTCTGATGACAGAGGTGCTTCAGAGCCAATAATCTTTCATATGTTTGCCAACCCAATTATACAATGCATCTCATAATGTTATTTGACTACACAGCCTGAGGAGCAATTCCATATACAGGATTGAGACAAAGAATGTAAGAATAATGATGTTGCATATAGATGAACTTGTATCAACAAAATAACAACATAAATCCATAAGCATTACCATGTAGATTCAAAAGAAAACCAAATACACATGTCATAGTAAAATAATGAGAAAGCGTATATATGTCCCAAGATTTATTATGACGCTTGACAGGCAACATAAGCAAATATCTAATCCGAACATTATGCAGAAGCAGTTGGAAATCCTATGAGAATAAGCCAAAGGTCATATTACTTTATCCATGGAAACTTCATGTTTGCAATTCAATCGAAAGATTAATATTGTCCTGCATAATCTACAAAGCTTGTACATCAAAGCGAAAATGTTTTGTGATTTTTTATGCATCAAGCTGTAATAAAATGTCTAAATTTTAATAGAATTTAAAACTCCAAAGACCTTGAACTTTTCTCCCCAATCAAGATAGGTCTTTTTGGTTCTCTGTCTTTAAGCTCTAGATGATGGTTCTCATTAGCATGGTAACCATTCATTTTCCATTAACAGCTAAAAATGTGCATCTCAAGATTTCTTATATTTATGCTATTAGGATGTCACAGACTCACACAAACTCACAGGTTCAAATATGAAGATCTGAAACGAATACACATCATGCACATTCTCACTAACTTTATGCTTGCATACATAAAGATACGGAAAGGAAGGATAAAAACTTGGAAAATTTTGATAGAACTTCCGTATTGAATTAATGGTCGTTGCAAGACTGTGATAACCCATGTAAGTCTAAGGATATAAGCTTACTAGTTATCATCTAAAAGAAAATATGAACATGTTTCAGTTGGTTTGAGAACAAATATTAACTATAAGCAAATATCGTTAGTAGAAAATATTCAATGTGTAACCTCTGTTTCCAAGGGGACACTTCCAATTTCAAACATTTTTTATTCGGTCTAAAACTTTTGTTTTGACTGTGAGAACAAGACTTTACCATCAATTTTCAATTTGATGACCTATAGAGATTGTGCAATCAATAATATAATAATTCTCCCCTTGTGCCAGTGAATATGCACGCATATGTAATGTTCAATGAAACATGCCTAAAAATTTTGTAGCAGTGTACATATTTATCCTTGAAAGTCTCATATGCATGGTTTTGACAAGAATAAAGAGAACAAACCTTTCTGGGGATCTGAGTGGGTTATGCAGCCCATGTTTTGGACAGCTAGACAAGCTCTCTACAAATGGCTGCAGATAAGTATGATAATAGTTAGAATTCCCCAAAACAAAGAAAAATGAACACAGATCATAGTTTGAAGTGCCAACTTATTTTTCAAGGACCACATAAAACGGAAAAAAAGTACTGAAAATTAATTTTAATCTTTTCATAGAGTTAACTTATATAGCTAAGGAACCATTTGCTGCATGTCATGTACCTTTATTTCTGCTTCCTGAACTTCTGCAACGTTGATGAACGGATATCCATTTAAGGGATCAACTATTGAGTTCCAACTGGAAGATGCTTTCCATTTACCCTGAACTAAATATAATCACCATCAGGTTTTTGTTCTGAACTATTTATAAGGAGAATAGAAAGAAAATTTTCCTAGCATATAACCATATTAATCACAAAACAATTCTGAAAACTATGGTTGCGCCATTCTATTCCAAGTTAGAGGACACTCCTATATATTCAAACATAAAACTACTGCCAAACCAAGGAGATCCTTTACATAGGAAATATTACAGGCTTGTGGATAAACTGAATTATTTGCCGAGTACTCAACCAGATAAGTCTTATCTAGTAAGTTTTATTGTTTAGTTATATCTCATCATTGAATTGCCAATTGGTGTACTGAAATTCAAATTTCAATGTCTAAAGAATGCTTGCATGCTGAATATATCACACTATGTTCGTGGACATTACACATAGTGAGGTCCACTGATGCTATCACATACATATCCACCATGGGATACTGGTTTATCTTTAGGAAGAAACTTGATAGTTTGGAGAAGAAGTAGAATGTAGTTCATAAATTAAGTGCAGTCAGAATACTGAGCAACAGCCAATACCACTAATGAGATGGTGATGTGGGCACAATATTTATTGGTGAACTTGGTTTTGCATCATTCCTTCTTATGAGACTATAACGTGACAATTGAGCAGGCATCTATTGCATTAGTCCTGTTGTTTATAACCAAACCAAATATATGGAGATTGATTTGCTTTGGTCATGAGAAAGTTGAGCATACACATCCAGTAAGCTCCAGCTTGAGGGAGAGCTATAAGACGTACTATAGTAACCTCAGTTGATATTTTATATGCAATTATATTAGTACCTAAAGACCTTAATCAATCCCGAAAACATATTTCAGATTTCATGGCCAACACAAATTCATATCCAACACAATGGTCATACCACCAAGACTACACATTAAATAATTTGTAGCTTCACAAAGTAATAGTTCATAGGCTTAAATAGAGGGTTTTGAATAAGAGAAGTGATAGCAAATACATAACAGTCACAATGTGCATAACCAAAATCATGATACAAGAAACTAGTAGCCTACCCAAGTTCAGCACTTCTGCAGGTTGAGAGACTGAAATCTCTTCAGCAGCTACAGTAGGAAAAGGCGGTGAGTGGATTGATCTGTAGCCATCATAAAGTGTACAAGTCAGATGATGATGCACCAGCAACAACAAAAATTAAGGGGCCCATCAATGAGGTAATCAAGAAGAGTTCAACGCTAAACGCTGCATATCAGATAAGCCAATATGACAATCATAAGATACAATAATGACAAACACAACTTTTGACCTCCAACAATCACAAACACTTCAAAACTTTGAAAGACACCAAAGTGCCACCACCTGATGGTCCTAATCTTCAAATTTTAGCTGACTCATAAACATGCTAATCAAAAAGAACTTTTAATTTTAAGAGACCAATAAAAAATATAAATAAAAAGAGTGAATGATGAAGAGTTTGATCAGAACATGCATACAAGACCAATGTTACAGAAGGCGCTAAGTGGACTAGGTGTTTGAGCCAGCGCCTAACGCTTAGAAGCCTAGGCGGTGCCTAGCCGTTCGACTATTTTTTAAATTATTTAATTATAATAATTGATAAAAATATGTATTAACTTCATATAAATTTGCCAAAAAAGTAGCAATCTTAGATTCACAATAAACCATGCACTCTTAAATACTAAATAGCCAAAATAATAATTAACAATGTTATAGTAAGCGCTAGGAGATTTAGGCGTTGGACCTGACGCCTAGAACTTAGGAGGTTTTTTTTTATTTTTTAATCACAATAATTAATGGTAAATGTCAATGTTATAGAAATCTTAGGTGTTGGACTGGTGTCTAGGCAGAATACTTTCATTTAAGTGATAGTCCGGGAGGTTTTGCTGAAGATTGAAAGATCTAGTGGAGGTGTTCATATTTGGAGGTTAAAGGAGTTAGAAGGAGGTTGGAGGATGTGAAGGCTGCAACACAGAAAACACGATCAATGCCTAAAGGGTGTAGTCCACATAAGCAAATAATGTTTCCTTAAACACTCCCAAAATCTAAGTGGGCGATCTAGGCACCGCCTACGCGCTAGTTAGATGGTCTGGGTACCTCCTAGGCCTAAGCGTTCGCCTAGGCGGAGGCTTTTTAAAACAATGTACAAGACCAATTGTCACATCTGCATAAATTGGAGACATTACAATACAAGGTTTTAAGAAACCTTTTACAAAAAAACTGGTAGTCGATGAAAGTTTGGTACTCCGAAGGCAAGAAGATATAAACTGCAAAGTCCTCACAATTGCTTACCTAAATTGTGGAGACGCAAGTATTATCCTTCGATATACAATAATGTTTGAAACACAAGACTTTGAATTTACTATGTTTGGTATTGATTCTCACGATTCTTCTGAGTTTTCCAGGTGGTGTATATGTTTATGACTAAAAGTTTGGTTTCTAAAAATATCAGCTCAATCAAAATTGCATGAAAAAGCAAACCTTTAAGTAACCTTTGGCATATTTATTCTCGTGAGAAACTTATAATGAAGACAAATATGAGATCCCATAAAACAAAATCTTCATCGAACAAAATTGAGTGTTGGGGAACGTCAAATCAACTAAACTACATTTATCGATAGATTCACAAAAAGTAAAATACATGAAGGACCTTTAGACACATAAGTGACCTACATTCAGCAATTCAAAAGGAATTGATTTGCTGACCAAAGACCCACCATAGGACCTTGTACTTAAGATGAGATAAAGCTTAGGAAAAAAGACCATCACAGATTACCGCTCAGAGTCAAATAATCCCAAGCACTTCAACAATTTTAAAAATCTAAAAGGCCCACTAAAGAACCTTAACTTTAAGTGAATCAAATCAAGGATCAACAATATTCATGACACCCAAGATAATTCTACTTTATTCTAATGTTAACCAGCAAAAATTATTAGGACACATTACAGGAAACTCGAACAATCGCAGGCATTTCAAAATCTTAAATAAATAAATAAAAATCCCAAGCACAACAAAGAATCTTCAAACCCAGCTGACCAATCATCGAAAAAACCAAGAAAAGTGAACATCTATAGTTCGAATAAAGAAGACCTAAATCTTGGCATTTATAGAAACTTAAACTACAACAAATAATCGCAAATTATTGTTGGGAAAAAAATCAAATAATCACAAACACTTCAAAATTCTCGAACACCCCCCAAACCCATTAGTAAATCCCAAGCTCTAAGCTGATGATCAAATCAAACATCAACAAAATTCATAACCCATAAAATTATTCCAGCTAATTCCACACAAAGCCCCCAATTTAAAAAAAAAAAATCGCGAGACCCACCAAAACATCATCAAATCTAAGTGACCCGTCATCGCAAAAACCAAGAACAGTGACCAACTAGAGCGGGTCGACAAAAAATTCCCACTGATTCTAAGCTAAGAGTACCTCGAAGCAAAGGGAGCTGAAGCATTGAAGGAGGCCAAAGCAGCCCTGATTCCTCTCGAGGAACCGAATCTCAACATTGCAAGCGAGAGAATCGTGAAGGAGGCCAAAGCAGCCCTGATTCCTCTCGAGGAACCGAATCTCAACATTGCAAGCGAGAGAATCGAGGTACAATGGTGATTTGAGATTCGAGAACAGTAAGAGAGAGAGAGAGCGCAATGAGAGGGCGGCGGTCTCTTTAACCTCGGTGCCTTGTTCATTAAATAGAGGAGGCCCATTTACTAACTGGGCCGTCGATTGAAAACGTAGGCAAAATGAAATTTGTAACCAAATGGTGTGTTTGAGAGTTTACTTTGGGAATCCTTTCCTTTCCCTCCATTACACCCCAATTTGGGTTGTAAGAGAATTTGGGCCAAATTCCCCCTCCATTCCCTTCCTCTATCCTCCAAAATGAAACTCCCAAATAATGTTAAAATGAAGTTTCCATTCCCTTCCTCCTCTCTACCCTCCATCCAAACTGACCATTGAATCTTATCATATATTTCTATCTTATCATATATTTCTACTATGTGCTTCAAGCCTTCAATGGAACATTATTCTAAAAGTGTGTTTTTCCCCTTATAAAAACAAAAAGTTTGTTCCATTTATTTTTATATAAACTAGTTGAGATGCACGTGCAACGCACGTGGTTGAATATGGAGATTATTTAAATTGATAAAAATTGAATAAAAAATAATAAAAAAGCAAAGTTTTTTGTGTGATTGATCTGTTGGATTTAAATCTAATTAAATCTATTTGTGGACACATATGCTTAATCTGTGTGTATAAGCTTGTTTGTTTGGGTATAAACTATAATTAGGTTGGCAAATAGTTTAATATATATTAAAACTTTTCGGATGTCTTTGGGAATAAGCTTGTTTGTTTCAAACTTTTGCATTCACAGGAAATAATAAAGTTTGGAGTATTTTTGGACACACTTATAGTGATTTTTTTATGTTAATTGTTATTTTTATTTTTCATAGAACAAACTAACTTTATAGAGTTATTCTGCATGTAAATTTTACGTTGCTCTATATATATAAAACAACTAAAACGACTTCGCGAATGAATATCTATGTGGTTTAAATGCCCATGTGCCTAAGATATGTTTCTCGGTAGTCATGCTTTTATAAATGGTAAGATCAACACTTGTAAAAAAACTTATAGAGTATTTTGAATATCCCTTCATGCAACAACAGATCTAAATACACGTTCTTCCAATAATTAACAAAAACATAAATGGAAATCATAATAGTTTATAATTACCCATATGCACTCAAAAAATCTTCATGAATGAAAAATGTAAAGGAACCATAAAGATTAAGTATAAAAAAATAAATGAAAATTTTTTGAAAAAAATAAATGATTACAAATGATGAAACTAAATATTGATAAAATTTGTTTATAAAAGGGTCTGTACTATAAAAATATAAAAAAATAAATAAAATGGTAACACACTGTATATTATACCTTTATCAATTGATCAATCAAATAGAAATTAAGCATTACCCACGAATCAGAGAAAGAAATAAAATTTTAGTAGTTGAAAAAATCATTAAAATAGGGTGATCTCATTAAGATTCTAATTTTTTTTTTATATTGTTATCTTATGCAAACACACAAAACTTGTTAGCTGTATCCATTCACTTAGACTCATAAGCTATTAATCATCATTATTGAAATTTATAGTGCCAAAATAAGCTTATTCTAAAACTACTTTTATTAAATTGCCAATTAATAGCAAACTATTATGTGATGAGGGAGGCCTTTGGCCTCCCCCTCATTATCCCTCCATTCACACCCCATTATGATGGTGTAACACCCCATTAAGTGGGGGTGACTCTTGGGTACTCAACCTATTCACATTGACTATCTATAAATTTACATCATATGCATTTGGCCTATGTAAGGGTTTCAAACACGTTATCAGCACGAAGTGTTCTTGAATCCCTGAGCCATAAATATATATATATATATATATATAGAGTAAAACTTGTGTCAACTTAAGTGGACGTCCACTAAGTTTCTTACCCATTGATGATCACTTGATTGAGCTGCTTTGTGGATGATCCGCTCCGTTGAACTTGATGATCTACATATATATATATCCTTCCTCTTTTGCGCATTGAGATCTGGTTCGTTGCAGCGGGAGTGTTCGACGGATCATCGCAAGGAGGCAGCGTTCTACGGATCTTTAGTATCGATCGTCCCTAAATCTTTGATCTAGAGGTAATTACTATAATCCGTAGAATAATATATGACAACTGGAAAATTTTAAAAAAAAAAACGTTACTGTTCACCGAGGGTTACTGTTCACTCGGAAATTTTTCAGTTTATTAAGCAATTTTATTGTTGTTCATCTAATCTAATTGCTTTCATTATTTGTTGGCATAACTAGTAATTAATACTATTAGTTAATTGCTATTCAAAAAAAATAAAATAAAAAACAGAAATGTTTATGTGCTCATGTTGATGAAACTGGCGAGAAGTTCTGCGGCTTCTGCTAGTTTGTAAAAATTCATATATTGTGTTAAATTTGCACATTTACGCTGATAGCATTTCCTATTACCATGAATATTATTTGGTTTTGCTTAGTATTAACGGAAGTGATCATTGCTAGGGAAATGCTCTTAAATTACATATGCTTGAGAAGAAAACAGTAACACCAACACCAAGGTATTATTGTATATGTCCAGTTAACATGACATAACACATATACATTTTTCTAATGGAATGCTAAACCTTTGGTTGTTTCAGAGTTTCCATTCAGGGAACTTGCATTATTTTTTTAATCATCACTTGTTATATTCAAAGTTCAAACTCACAATTTCTACATGATATTAAAAGTATTAAGTAGGCAGTATCGCATAGAAACAACAAGAAGTCTAAAAAATTCAAAGAAAGCAAGGGTTTATTGTCCAAATTTGTTATGCCTGTTGCATATATTATTATTAAATTGCGTGGATGTTTAAATAAATAATGTTGTGGTTTTTGGATCAGCCTGTTTGTCACCAAATTTAAATTCCTTGCATTTTCTTTTACTTCTGAGAGAGAAATTGTAGTGAGGATATAATTGTAAAAAGTCAAAGACCGGTGTATTCCATTGAAGACGAAGGCATTTTTGCAAAATACAGGGACCCCCAAGGGTTTTCCAAATTGTATTTTAATTTTATGATTTTTGTTATCTTTGGACTGTATAATCGGACTTTGGACACTTTTTATTTTTTTGGTGACGGGCTGATCCACGCAACATGTTTATTGCATGAATTTTTAATTCCTTATTATTAATTCATGCTTTTCATATGCATAGATAAAATGGCTAAAATAGCGAGCGTTGATTTCGAAGTCCTAGACGCTGCTGGCAAGAATTATTTGAGTTGGCATGTGGACCTGAAGTTCCACTTACGTGCCCAGGGCTTATTAGCCACAATTTCAACTCCTGCTCCACCGGCTCCGGCCACTGGTACGGGTAATGCTGTAAATAATGCTGAGGTTGCTACTACAGTGATCGTCTCTGATATAGATAAGGCGAAAGCCATTATCTATATCAGGAGACATATTGATCGGACCTTGAAGGCCGAATACCTGACTGTAGAGGACCCAAAGGAATTGTGGACTGCACTTGAGGACCGATACAAACATCAGAAAGATGTAATCCTCCCACGTGCACGTTATGAGTGGGAAAACCTCCGACTTCAGGACTTTAAGTCCGTAGCTGAGTACAACTCAGCACTTCATAATATCACCTCACGCCTGAAGTTGTGTGGTGAAGAAGTTTCGGAGGAACGCATGTTGGAGAAGACTTACACATCCTTCCACGAGAAGGATGCAATCCTCATGCAACAGTACCGCGAACGAAAGTTCAAAAAGTATTCTGAATTGCACTCCACCCTTCTGATGGCGGAGCAAAACAGAGAATTGCTTTTGGCCACTCATAACCTACGCCCTGCAGGCTCAGCTCCTCTACCCGAAGCTCACATGTTTTCTTCCCAGAAGCAGAAGAAAAAGCATAAGGGTAAATTCAACAAGGGGAAAGCCCCTAAGTGGCAGGCCAGATGTCCACCCCAGAAAAACAACCCGCCCCAGAGCAGCAATAGTGAGGGAAAGAAGAAGTGGAAGAAGAAGACCACTGAGTTGTCGTCCATTCCCAAGAACACTTGGGAGGACAAATGCCACAGATGTGGCATGACTGGATATTGGTCCAGAAACAGTCGCACTCCGCGACACCTCCAAGATCTGTATCTAGCGAGCCAGAAGTCTCCTGTTGAAACAAATCTAGTGGAAAAGCAGCCGTCTACTCAGTTCACTGCTGATGACTTCGAAATGGATGATCTTCTCGACTAGATCCATGTTATCTTTATATGCATTTAAATTCTCATAGTACTTTCATCTTTAGTTCTTTACTTTCCATGTAATGCAATTTACTTTTCAATAAAGATAGTTATTTTCTTTAGATTAAAATATTGCATTCATGTTATAGATGAAGTGTGAGTGCCTTGTGGACAGTGCCTCGACGCACACAATCCTTCGCGAAAGAAGCTATTTCAATAGCTTATATGATTATGACGATCCTGTAATTACGATTTCAGGACTATCTAATATAATAGAAGGATTTGGTGAAGCAATGATATTGCTCCCAAATAAAACGAGACTAATAATAAAAGATGCATTATTCTCTCCGAAATCTAATAGAAACCTCATAAGTTTCAAGGATATTCGTTTAAACGGATATCACTTAGAAACCAATGAAATAAATGAGGATGAGTATTTGTATGTAACTCGTCAAAAAGATGGTTCAAAAACTATCTTAGAACGATTCAAGGGACTCCCGTCGGGTCTCTATCATACATATATTCAACCAGTAGAAGCTAACATGATTGTGCACCAGAAGTGCCATTCTTCGACGAAATTTAAACTTTGGCATAACAGACTGGGTCACCCAGGATCAGCAATGATGCACCGCATCATGAGCCAATCAAGTGGACACAACCTGAAGAACCTGAAGATTCTTCAGAAGAGTGATTACTCATGTCTATCTTGTTTTCAAGGTAAACTGATCACGAGACCTTCCCTTCTGAAAGTGGGATTAGAGTCTCCTAGCTTCTTGGAGAGAATACATGGCGATATTTGTGGGCCTATTCACCCCGCAAGTGGACCATTTAGGTACTTTATGGTACTTATAGATGCATCAACCAAGTGG